TTGTACGCATTAGAATATTTTGAAAGAGATTTCGCTTATTTAGGGATTTGTAATACGTTTATCAGAACCCATTCTTTTGTTGTTAAAATTCTATAAATTAATCATTTGCATTACCAAATATTTGGTTTGAATTAGTTCCTTTTCATTTTTACGGAATGCATTGAATAAATGCGTTGATAAATATTTTGCCATTTTATTTATGTTTTATAAAGCATGAAAGTACATTAATAAATTATAATAAATTTACAGATGAGAAAGTTCAATTTGCATATTTATTACTTCATAAAATTAGAATTAGAATGAGTAAAGGTATTCCAAATATTAGTTTGTGTATTTTATATTTCAATGGCATTTTTCAGGTAATGATATATGCTTAGTTATTTAAAAATGCTTCCATTATAATATATAAATAATGCTAAAAATATAGCGATACTTAGGTACATAATTTAGCAATTCATTAAATATTAAAAAGAAAGGTTATTTTTCAGAATATGTTGCTGCAAAAAATTTTAATTTTGCTAGTCCTCTCTCGGCATGAAAAATTCCTAGAACTTATGATCAAATGACAGGTTTTTATTGTACAAAAATATGCAATTTGATAATAAATATTTATATGCACAGAGTATCTAAAATTAGGCTGATGATTTTCTTAAACTTAAAACTAGAAAACGATTAATGTTGGGAAAAAAATTCTTGCCGCATGTTAATTCGACATAATATATATCTTTACTCCAGTTTAAAAAGTTTGCGGTAAATGGTGTTTTAGAAGCTATATAATATTTTATAACTATTTTTAATAGCTATAGTTATTAAAAACGGCAGAAAAGTTTGTCTACGGCAGATTTTGTTCCGTGGGAATTTGATCAAATATCAATTTTTTTCTGTAAATAAATGAATAAATAAATTAAAAGAAACTAATTTCATAAAATTTAAAGATTCCAGATCTACCTTCTAAAGCTCATACCTCATTATCTAGAATTAATTTTAAAGTAAGAAAGTTTTAAAGCTTGATCCAACATTTTAAAGAAACTGCTCAACTGTTTGGTTATTAAGAAGAGTAATTTAAAGCTGTCAAAGACTTTTGAGAAGAATCACTTTAATATTGATTTTTCTATTAAAAAGATATTTCTGCCATCTGTGTATTTTTCAATCAAAAAAATTTATATATCGGTTCTGATAGTATCCTCAATCATATCCACATTAATTTTCCTGATGCGAGAACTCTCTGTTATCAAGTACTATATTGCTTTAGAAATACTATGAAATATATTAAATAAAAACACAATGTTGATTTATAAAACTGTGTTTAAGCTGCATTAAAATAATAAATCTATATAAAAGATATAAAACGTACTTTAAAATTTATTTTAGCCATTTATAAACGGACAAATTTGAAATTACGGGCGCCATTGAAAATGAAGTAAATTGTATGAGTTTAAAGTGTACATTGAGAAATAAAAGTAGGACTTGTTTATTTTTTTAAACAACGAAAAGACATTTTTATGCGCAAGATGGAGGTTTTTTTGGAAATTGAGATTTATTTAGGGAAAAGATCATTCAGGAAAAAAAAATGCGTTGCAAAGAATTATAAGTAAATTTAAAAATAGGACCTTGTGGGGGAAGTCGCATCGACCATGTCAACCTTTATCTATGACCCCAAAGAATCAAGCTAACATGTCTTACATACTAGTGAATTGGAATTGTATTTTTGTAGTGGTAGACAAACTACAGTACTCCCTCTCTAGAATTATAGCTGTGATAGAATTCGATGATCGGATACGACTAGTTGATTCATTGCTGTTTTGTGAGAAGCCGGGAGAGCTGTATTAAGATCACCATACTTTATAAATACTGTTCGTGAGAGCTGTATTATTAAGTTCACTGTCGTGGTTGCTCCTGTGTTTCCATTAGCAGTCGAGTGTATACAGGCCAACGTTGTGTGTGATCTTGACTGAGTAGCAACGACGCCAGGGGTGGATAATGTCACAGTTACAAGTAGCAAGCCAACTGTTCATTGGGGAATCCATTGAAGTAGGAGTGTTCAAATCGAAGTGGGCGTTTCCGTCAAGGTAGGTGTCCGGGTCACCAATGTGGGAGGAGTCACATCGATCATGTCAATCTTCATCTATGAAAAGGTACTCCGGCATAGAATCGAGTTAACATGTCCTATATACTAGTGAATTGGAATTGTATTTTTGTAGTGATAGACAAAGTACAGACCTGTTAACCATATTTCTACCATGTTATACTATCTCAAACTAATTATTTTGTGCATTTTTAACAACTAAATTAACTCTACGAGTTTTTTAAAAAAAATGCTTTTGAAACAGTAATTAGTGATTTGTTTATTTTTAAGTAATAGAAAAAGTTTTTTTAATAGCAAACTCTTCAATATTTGTAACACTCGAAATTAAATTGAAACGGAAAAAAATTGGTAAAAATACGGTACTGTACGATTATGATATTTCTAATAAAAAGAAAACATAATTTTGGTTAAATAAACTAAAATATACGGCATTTAAGCCATTTATTAATTTTTCTGTCCAACTAATAATGGTTTGCCAGAAATAACGCTTTTCAAAATTACAGTTTTTATTACTACACATTTAATAAAAAATACTAAACTGAAATGTAAGTTTAACCGAATAAATGGTTTGTATGCCATGCTTAATGGTACGATAAAAATTACCATTTTTTTATCACGTATCATAAAACCATATTTTATTGTTCATTTTACCAAAATCATTATCAAAGCACTTCGATAAAAATTACCGAGCTTTTTGTTGTTCCCATAGAACCAGAAACATGGTAAAATTTACCATATTATGCTAGTGTTGCAAACACTTTTTTTCAGATAAAAGTTTAAAAAATATGCATCTCGATGGAAAGTATGTAACATTAAATGAATAACTTATTTATTTTTATTCATAATAATAAAAATCAGAAATTGCGTGTCCAAGGTGCAGGGTGCAAATATAGGCCGAATCAAATAATTAAAAATTTTACGTTGTGCATTCGAGTGGAAGCATCACGCATGGTTGCGACATAAAAAGTTAAAGTGGAATTCGTTCGTTTTTGGTTTATAAAATAAAAGTCATTCTCACAAAAAGTCAATCTTTTATTATAGTTTACTGTAGTTTAACTATAGTTAATTATAGTTTAATTATAGTTTACTATAGTTTATATACTAATTATAGTTCAAAAAATTATTTTTAAAAATTAAGCTCTACGTTTTAGGTAGTAATATTATATTTTAATCGAAATTATAACAGTAATTTATAACAATATTTTATAATAATAATTTATAATAATAATTTATAATAACAATTTATAATAAGAATTCATAATAATAATTTATAATATTAATTTAGAATAATAATTTATAAAAATAATTTAGAATAATAATTTGCAATAATAATTTTAATAATAATTTATAATAATAATGAGGATAAAGAATATTTCCTTTTAGCCTGATCCGTAAATTTATTATAGAAAAAGAATTGGATTCAAAACAAAACAGCTATATATAAAGAAGTAATGTTAACTTCAGGAATAACATTTAGTTAGAAAAATATTTTTCAAAAGATTTTTTAAAAAAATAGAGTAAAAAATATTTCACTTGAAAGAAGAGTTAAATTTGCCCATTAAACCTTTTCAAAACATTTGCATAATAAACAAGAATTTTTCAAAACCGCAATTATGTAATAGAATGAGAAAAGCGTTAAACCGTAATTATGATCAAAAAAAGTTAACTCCATAGATAATTTCATAAAGAACAAAAACATTCTACTTGAATTATGTCACATAAGTATGCCACCCCCTTCACTTGGTTTTTTATTCACCGCAGCTCTTCATTTAATTATTTTATTAACAGAAATGAGATACACAACTACTTTACGAAATCTTGGTAAAGAGTTATTCTTTTTTTTAAAAAAAAAAGTCTGGAATATGGTAGAAAAATTTGAATATGTTTCTTTTTATCTTGTGAAATTAACGGTCTTTTTTAAAAACCTAAACTCGTATAACACGTATATTTTCTCAAAAAAATATTTTTATTACTTTCTGAAGTATCAGATTTGTAGATTATTACTTATAAAAAACTAGAGTTTCCATTTTAATGAGGCTGTTTTTCTAAACTTAATTAAAGAAATAATAGGTTAAAATAGTTTGTTTTCCTAAAATATCTATCTTGCGTGTTAAAAATATATGTAAATTATTTTTTAATAAGTAAATTTATTATTTAATCACTTTGATTAAACAATTTATTTCCTTGTAAAATAAGCAATTGTTTAATATGTTATTCGTGTCTTTTTTTTCCTTCTCCCAGTACAGTTTACGTTAAATCACTTAATTTCTCTTTGTTTTCCTTTAATTCCTTAATTCCCTTAATTTTTTTTGCATTTAGCCAATCATTTCAGTATAAAAAAATTAAATAAATTTAACTAAATTCGACATATTAGGGTAAATTTTTTTAACACAACTAAAATTTATGAGCTGTAACTGAATTTATGCATAAACTAATTAGTATCTTTTATACAAATTAAATACCAATATCTCTCATATAATCTAAACATTTATCCTGACATACATATGAAACAGAAGTATGAGGCACCCTTATCAATTTTGTGTAGGATACCTAATTGATTGAAAAATTAAATCAGATTTTTACCAGTGTGCCACATATTTAGGATTAAAATACTTATTAAGAGTGAAAGAGGGAAGATTGTAAAATACAAACTTTATCCAGAATTTTGCTTTATTTGGAGTTTCATGTTATATAATGTCACTCAAGAAGATATCTTTATACATGTATTTTGGTAAAAAATATAAACATATTTTATACAAGGAACTTGTTTCAAAATTGTCAATTTATGTAATGAGTACCATGAAAATGTTTGCTTAGAAAATACGTATTTGCAAAAAAGTTGAATTGGAAAAAATTTACGTCTTTTAACTTTTAAAGTAATATAATTTGAAAATAAATAAAATATTTAATCAATTTATCTAACAATTTTTATTGTATCCATAATCCCTTTGCCGGGGTAAAGAGCTTCTATTTTGCTGAAAAGCCAATTGACACATTTTTTAATCACTCGTTGAACAGTTTTTCTGCATCTGAGGATCCAGTGTTGTTCTCTTAGAACTGACGTTACAATTTGAGTTCCGGCATGATTTAGTTCCTTGTGTTTATCAAGTATAAGACAGTGAGTGACATTATGGTCAGATGGTAGAACAATAGGATACTTAAATGTTCTCAAATCCTGCCTCATGGCTATTCTTGTTCTGACTCGTATAAGGCCTTCATCATCCGTTATAGTTTGTAAAGAAGTATAGCAAGGCTTGGTTTCTTCTGCTAGGCATCTGTTCTGCACGTACTTCATAATAACCATTTCAGCGTCTTTCATTTCTTCAATAGTCAGCTGTTTTTCGAGGTTTCGTTCATCCGCAGCACTCTTGATGTTTCGATAAAATCTGTAAATCCAAGCAGTTACTCTTATCATTTTTCGATATGATGTTAAAGTATCATATAACGGAATTTGTCCTTTGAATAAATTTGTTGAAGTCACTACCGTTTTTCTTCTTTCAGCGTTGATAATGTCCAAATCTGGATCGATAATATCTTTTGGCCAGAGCTGTGGTGGATCTTTCAGCCACATAGGGCCCTCCCACCATTTAGATTGCTTAAGATGCTCTGCAGAACATCCTCGTGAGGGAAGATCAGCTGGATTAAGAGTTCCGGGAACATAATTCCATTCTTCTGGCAAACTGAGAGATCTGATTTCTTGGACTCTGTTGTAAACAAAAGGGGCCCAATTTTCATTCCTTTTTATCCAAAAGAGGGCATTTACTGAATCTGACCAGAAAAATGTTGGAATATTTTCAAGTCTTAAGTCTGATTTAACTCCATGTGCCAGTCTAGCTCCAATTGTACAGGATAAAAGTTCAAGTCTGGGTATTGTGACGGGTTTTAGAGGAGCTACTCGAGATCGAGCTTGAATGAGCTGACATGATGTCGAGTCTTCGTTTTGGCTTCTCAGGAATATGCATGTAGCATAAGCTACCTTGCTCGCATCACAAAAAATATGTAAACTTAAATTTCTCGAACCTTCAGGCTTGTCCAAGAGACACCTCGGAATGGTTATATCTTTCAATTGACTTAGTTGTTTTTGCCATTTTTCAAACGTTTTTCTAATAGAAGATGGTAATTCTGCATCCCAAGTGCATTTTAGCTTCCAGCACTCCTGAAGCATGATCTTCGGTCTTAATGTTACTGGACACGTGTAACCAATTGGGTCGAATACTTTGTGAACTTCAGACAGAATTTTTCTTTTGGTTAAAGTCTCAGAGGCCTGCGATGTTTCCTTTAAGTCCAAAGTCAATGAATCAGTACTTAACTTCCAAATCAGTCCCAAAACTGGTACTTTTCTTTCTTCTTTAGGGATGGCTACTTCTTGTGAATTTAGGATACTATGCTCCCACCCTCTTAGATCGAATTGAGCTCTCTTCAATATATACTGCGATTCAGTCATAAATTTGTGCAAATGTTCTCTATCTTCAACACTGGTTAAGCAATTATCTACATAAAATGATTCTTCTAATTTAACTGCAGTTTCCAGCATTGATTCTGGCGCTTTCTTCAAATGGTACCGTAGAGTGGCTCCTAACAAATATGGACTGCAAGTCAAGCCAAACACCACTCTTCTATGTTGGTAAATTTTGATCTTCGAAAGGTCTCCATTTTCACACCATAGAAATCTTAGGAAAGGTCTATCAGCTTCACTCAGTTGGATCTGTAAGAAAGCTTTTCGAATATCTGCAATGACTCCAATCTTATTTAATCTAAATCTGTTGATCACTGAAGGAATGAGCTCCACAAGATTAGGTCCTTTTTCAAGACAATTATTGATAGAGGGGAAATTTTTTATTTTGGTCGAACCATCAAAAACGGGTCTGATCTTGGTAGTAGAATTTTCTTTTATCACTGCTCGGTGGGGCAAAAAATGTTCATTGGTGGCTGTATCGTCTGGGTCAACCTCTTCGATAATTCCCTCTTGCAACCATTCTTTAAATACCGCTTCATAATCTTCTAATATTTCTGATTTCTTTAAGGACTCAACGCAGTTCTTCAATCTTCTTTCAGCAACACTTCTATAATTAGGCAAAGTAGGGTGATTTAAGATCCATGGAAGGCTCACTTCATATCTCCCATCTTCAAGTACCTTAATGTTGCGATTAAAATGGTCTTCGGTAGCTTTTGCAATTTCTTCTCTTGATTCTTTTTCACCTGGGTCTAATATTCCTAACGTATCTAGTTTCCAGAGATCCGAAATTTTAGCCTGAGCCACATGAAGGGACAAAACTGTGTTGGTACTATTACTGTTTTCAGGATCACGAGTTTTACCCATAAGTGTCCAACCTAATCGCGTTTCGAATGCAATTAAATTTTCTGAAACCGATTTAATAATACCTGTGAAAAGTTTACCGCAAACGTCGGCTCCGATAAGTAAATCAATTTCTTTAGTTTCTGAATTCGACCCTTCCATGTTTTTATAATCGCAAAATTTAATTCCTAACTTATTCGCTTCTTTTATCCACGAGCCGTCTCTTATTTTAGGAATTTCTGTACAAATTTTTTCCTGATCATAAACTTCAAAGTTACAAAAATAATCCCGATTTAAATCGCTCAAAAAAATTCTGTATTTATTATGCTGATTAGTTCTTTGTAATCCACCGAAAAGACTATGATTTAAGTTTTCTTGCCCTATTGGTTTGTAACCTATTTTATTTATTGTTTCTTTTAAAAGATACGACTTTTGGGACCCCGTGTCTATCAATCCGCGTATAACTATTTCTTTTTTTCCGTTTATTAAGCGAATTGTTAACGTTTGCATTAATACTTCCGGATTACAAGTTTCATTCGATAAAACCGTACTTTCCACTTTACTATCTGTTTTCTTTTCCGGACACATAAATGTATAATGACGTCTAAAACAAATATCGCATTTTACAAAACTCCTGCATTTTTTAGCCGTATGGCCAAAGCGAAAACAAATAAAGCAACAACCGCTTCTCTTTAAAATATCCCTTTTCTCATTCATTTCTTTCATTTTAAATTCATTACAATCCCATAAATTATGTCTATCGTTACCGCAAGAAATACATTTATTTTTCTTATTACTCGATTCATTCAATAAACCTGACGCCGTTGATATGCGATTCTTATTTTGTTTATTCGAATTCTCGCCTCCACTGCTACGCTTTGAGGAGGGGAAGGGGGAACATTCTGAAACTCGTGTTATAGACGAACTCAAGGCCGTGGCTTTTTCTCGGCTAATTACTTCTGTTTTTAAAATATCGAGGATCTCTGATACTTTCCACTCATCATCATTGCTATATTTTTTGGTTATTTCTAACACTATATCTGAGGGAAGTAATTTAATAAGTATAGGACAGAGTAAAGCCCCGTAATTTTCCTGATTAATTCCCAAAGATTCTAAATTCCTTATTTCAGTTTGACAAGAATCAAAAAGTTTTCTTAATGAAAAAATATCTGTTGATTTTTCTACTGGGGTTAAACTCAACAATTTATTCAAATGAGAGTTAATTATCAACGTTTTCTTGCCAAAGCGTTCTTTTAATGTTTCAATTGCTGATACATAATTATTATTTGTTAAACTGAATCCTTTAATCGCATCTGAAGCCGATCCCACTAAATATGTTTTCAAGTAATTAAACTTTTCAACATTCGACAAACCAGTGTTTTTATCTATGGCAGATTCGAACTGATCGTAAAATCTTTGCCAGTCTGCAGGATCGCCAGAAAATTTCTCTATAGTTAAAAGAGGCAGTTTCACAGAAGAAGTTTCATTTATTCTTATATTAGTGTTTATCTTCGGTTCAGAAATGTTCGAATTTAACTCAGGAGACACTACCGACAGTTTTTCTATTTTTCTGTTTAATCTGCTTTTACTTCGTACAATATTTGTCAAATATTCATCACACTTTATAATTTCTGTATCGATTTCATTTACATCCGTAATACCCTGCTGAATTTCGAGATCAATTTCTTTCAATTGTTCTTGTTTTAATATTAATTCAGACATTAACTCATCCAATTCATCTATTGTAACCTTATCGTCTTGATAAATGTTTTCGATTTTGGTTAATAACTTAGTTGTTAATGACCTTATCGTAGTACGCTTTTGTTTGGATTTCTCCATCTTAATTTATAAGCGAACTATTTATACACTTAAAGTCACTATTCTATGAAACTAAATTTCTAATCGAAAATAAACAAGAAATCTCTTAATGGCGGTCCCTGTTCGGGCGCCAGAAACTGTTCAATCTAAAATGAATTCCTGTTTTCAATATGAATTGTGGAAAATGTTCCACTTACCTTTAGACCGCCAATTTGATGATTGATAAACCTTTATTGGTTTTAATTACAAATAGATGAAGATGAATTTACATGAAATGGTAAATGATGATTATAAAGTGATGAAAACATTAAGTTAAGTATTAGCGCTGCATGGCGCGTCTCTAGTTACATTACATCAACTTCTACTGTTTTAAAGTTTTTGAAAAATAAAAAGTTATAACTTCTGTTGCGCCAGCGGCGCCATCTGGGGATAGTTTTCTGGTATGAGGGGGATGAGGGCTCGTTACACCTGCTATGTTTTAGATTCCTCAGATTTCCTGCTATGCTGTAGCGTGGCGGACAACTGGCCACCTTTGGCGGCTAGTAGATAATAAACGGAGATACTGTGTTAAAAATATACTTGAGGGTGCCCCTTGGCGAAATTAGCTACTTATGTTTGGCACCATACTTGTTTGCCCGGAACGCCGTGGTAACAGGAATGGCGGTCAAAACATAATGATATTTCAATGAAACATAGGAAAATTTAAACAAAACTTTTCAAAATTGCAGTGAACACAATAGAATCAAAATTAATAAACTCAATAAAATGCACTTTGAATGTAATGAAAATGCACTTTGAAGAAATGCACTTTAAGCACAGAAAGAAAAAGAAAAAAATAATTCACTTCTTCATAAAGCTTGAATATCCTCAGATTTTGGAGCACAGAATTCTCTAATTACAGTTAGGTACTGTCTAAACTTATCTTGAGTAGAATCGCTGTACCTCCATCGCCATATAAATTTGGCAAAATATGAGTCGAAAATGGCGTCAGTGGTACCGGACTGGCGGTGACATTTTTTTCTGAAGTCCCTTTTAATAACTGCCCACAGAACTTCAGTCTTATTGGTATGAGCACCGTTTCCGGATCCTCAAATGTCTCAGAGAGGTTTACTGATAAGTGCACGAACCGGCTTTCCGAAAGACAGTCGTACGATTTCCAGCAATCGGACATTATCGTTGTTCCGGGTAAAATATTTTGTTGAATTATAATCAACAAAGTTTTTTTTTTGTACGATCTGGAACAACTTCAAAAAAGCGCCTTCTACTTCCTCTTTCAACTCCACCAAACACCCACTTTCCATCCACCCGTTTACCCCTATTGTATTTTCATTTCCCAAATTTACTTTCGTCTATTTCTACAAATGTCAGGTTCCCCAATCATTTCACGCTTTCTTGTACATATATCCACACACACATCCCTACAAAAATTCTTCCAATCCGTTATAGTTTTTTCATTGTTTATATTGAGTTCTGTTTTAATAATTTCGCAATTAGCTTCATACACCCACAACCAAGTAAAAATTAAAATATAAATCATACTCAAATGACTCTCCTCAAACCACGATCCCTTTCTAATGGATCGTTTTATGTGATGAGCATTTGAACCTTTCACACGACGAACCCATTCAAAGCCATCTGATCCATCTTTAAGTTCAACGAAAGACATATCTTTCCCACAAATAGGACATTTATATCTATTACTAATTAAACCTTCTTTCATACACCATTCAATCACTGCTTTTTTCCACTGTTATTCAAATCGCACAGAAACTTAAGATTTATCTTATTGACAGTATTCATTTTTAGTACCAGAAGCAAAAGTAACCTTACCAGCCGGTATCCAAAGTAGAACTAACGGATCTCTGAAATTACATTTAAAAACAACGCTAAATTCTAAACCAATCAGAATCACAATTAAAATCTAAACCAATCAGAATCACGATTGGTTTTCAACATCGCCCAGCTTGGCGATCAATCGCGATCACAACTTGGCGAGAATCAAGGGGCACCCTCTAATATAGTCTACCCCACATCTATAATGGGAAAGTGATGTTACTTTAAAAATTTATATAAAATCACAGAGTGGGAACAAAATTAAAAGAAAGATATCGCTCATTCGCAAACATTTGAGAGAAATACATATTAAAAATTTGGCTAAAAATATTAACGAAAAAATATTAATTTTTGTGTACAAAGTAAGCATTTACAAAGTGACGATCTTCAGCATAGCGAAAGCCTATACCCAAGTTAAGACATATTTTAGAAAGATAACTATAGAAAAAGTACCAGATGGCCGGAAAATAAAAACTATATAAATTTAGAAAGGTAATCGCATGGGCAATTGCAAAGAGATATTTTAAATTAGAATTGAAAATGAAAAAGTATGAATTTGAGAAGTCAAAGTTAGCGATAGATTCCACTCGCAGTGGATGACATGTTAAAATGGCGATCTGGTACTCTAAGCCTAGATCAATGGAACATCGGATTTCAAACAATCAATTAAGGAAAAATAGGCCTCCCAGAGGTGCTTACCAGAGATGCCTTGTTGGATTACATACTGGAATTAATTAACTTTGTGGTGGAAAATTGATGTTTAATTCTTTTAGAAGAGATTATTTGGGACTCCAATGAAGATGTTGTTACAGAGATGGAGATCTAGATCAGTAGAGTCTAGTAATCAGAGTACAATAGTAATAGCACAAATCAGAGAAGGACATCACAAATATGCACTCAAGTTTACTGTGATGTGTACTAGATAGGTAGGTACTTTATTTGCGTCACACAAGAGCTGATGCTCAATGAGCTATTGGCGAAAGTCAAGGAAACATCCCTGAGGATTATCAGATGACATGCCATCACAGTTTTGATCTTCTGCAGAGTGATTGGCTCCCCCGCTTTGATAGCCCGTCGACCTGCGTCAGAAGTTCAGTGCTTCACAGGCGAACAGTTTAAGGAAAACCGATACCGCGCACCCTCGGTACTTACGCTGGCTGATCAAAGTGGTCACCCACCCACTTACTGATCTCAGCCAGTAATGCTTGACTTCGGTGATCTACTGTGAACCGTTTCTTTACGATCAGTCCACTGTGGGACTACTGTGGTACTCGAATCCGCTACTCCGCTCGATCCCGCTTATATTCCAGCTGAACTTCGGCAGCTAGCTTTGGAAATTTTAGGCGAGATTTCCAGTGACACCGTAAAAATTTACACAGACGGTAGTAGACTGGGAATCCTAGCTGGTAGCGGCGTCTTCATTGAAAAATCTGGACAAAATTACTCCATCTATCTCCGTAATTCTGATTTCACTTCAGTCCTTCGAAGTGAATTAATCGCAATTGAACAGGGCATCGATGCTATAACCAACGAGAGTAACTTCGGAGATATTTTGATCCTGTCGGACAGTCGCAGCTCCCTTCAGCAACTACACAACTGGACTAAATTTGGAGACAAAACAAGCCTCTCCATCTTTCTTAAACTTCAACTTATTTCAAAGCACCACGACGTTCATCTTCAGTGAATACCATCCCACGTTGACATCCTTGGAAATGAGCAAGCGGATCGCTTGGCCAAGAAGGGCTGTAGTCATTTAACATCTTCGTCCTCAGCCCTTACCTTTTCAGAGTATCAGTCCAAAATCAAAAGTCATCCATCAAAAAAGTGGAGGATCCCCCCCCTCTCATCATTGGTATGCGGCTGAGGAACCGGGCTCTTCACTTGTTCATATAGGTGAGAGAGCATCTCAAACAGCTATTTCCAGATTGGCAAGTGGGCACACGAATAGTCCCCGTACTTTAAAGGAAGAAAGACTTATGTGGAAGAAAGACAAATGTGAAGCCCAGCAGAGGCCTCAGCCGAACATATCCTCGACTGCTTGGGCCTTTCCAAGGAGGACTTATATGCTTCTCCACTTCTTGTCATCGACTTTTTGAGGGTCAACAACCTACTGGATCTTGTCTGACTTCGTCAGACAATTAGAGGATAAGAAACAACAGCAACTCCTAATCCAGAGTGTGTTTGGAGGATCAGTGAAACCGTTCGGCCATGGTGGCACCCTCTGTTAAAATGAAAACGTCAATTCTTTGGTAGGTACTTTGGTACTTTATTTACGTCGCACTAGAGCTACACAATGGGCTATTGGCGATGGTCTGGGAAGCATTCCTGAGGATGATCTGAAGACATGCCATTGCAATTTTCATCCTCTGTAGAGAGGATGACCTACAATCCTTTGACCTTCAAATATAGAGTGGTCCCGCAGTGGACTGATCGTTAAGACACGGTTCCCAGAAGATCACCGAAGTCAAGCATCACTGGCTACAGTCAGTGTGCGGGTGGGTGACCACTTGGATCAGTCTGCGTAGGGACCGAGGGTGTGCGGTATTGGTCCTCGTTAAACTGTGCTACCGTAAAGTGCTCGACTTCGCGTGCAGGTCGTCGGGCTGCCGAAGCGGGGGTGCCATCCCCTCTGCAGAGGATCAAAATTGCGATGGCATGTCTTCGGATCATCCTCCGGGATGTTTCCCAGACCGTCGCCAATAGCCCGTTGTGCAGCTCTAGTGCGACGTAAATTAACAACAACAATCAAATATAGAGTGCCATGGTAGCCATGTGGTTAGAAAATTGGATTCCGGTCTGGAGGTACAGAGGTGCGATCTTCAACTCTACTAATACCTACCGAGAACATGCGAAGCTCTTGCTCATAAAATCTGTAAAATCGAAAGTCCTATGGTCTGTCTCTAAGCAGTACCATGGGAACAAGTATTTAGAGAACATTTCCTTTCTCTTCAGATATATGTATAAACTTAGACCTCACAATTGATGTCCCCTCGGCAGAGGATCAAAATTGTCATGGCATGTCATTAGATCATTCACAGGGAAATTTCCCATACCGTCGCCAATAGCCCGTTATGAAGCTCTAATTCGACGCAAATAAAGTACCTACCTACAAAATATATAGCCAACTTGAAAGATACAATAATCCCTGGGTAAAATAATTTTTTTGTCCGTTTGAAATAATTTAGAGTAATTTCTTAAGTTTCAAAGAGTTGTGAGATCATAGTTTGTACCAGAGTTCGTGATTTTTTTCAACAAAAAAAATACTTATTGGAATTTTTTTTTCACGAAATTTCTTTATAGAAAATATGATAATGTCAAAGATTAAGAAAACATATTATGAGAAAGAAATACTTATTGATAAAAAAAACAGCACAATTCTAATTCTGGGTTATTTAATTTAGTAACATAGGCATTTTCATTCTGTGATTTGAAATTATTGTACATAATATTAAGGCTAACATAAATACAATAGTTTGTTATTTGTAGCTAAACTGTAAAAAAGAACGAAAATTTTACAGTTTTCTCATTTCCTCAGCGCACAGTTTAGATTGTACTGTACTATCAATATATACATAAAAAATCAGTTGATTTAAATAA